GATCTACACTAAAGTCTTACATGCCATGTTTTCATAAACAGGGTTCCCACAGTTTAAGGCGAGTTAAATGTAAGACTTTTTATAACTATTTAATGCCTCTTGAAATTAAATTTAAGGCAATTTCACAATAAACACAAATGACAATAAAATAAAAACTGTGTATTTTTGGTAAAAATATTCAAATGTTGCTAATAGACCATTAATTTTTATCCATATCTAACTAGCTTTTGTCAAATAGCAGTCAGTTTTAAACATGGAAATCCTTTAATGACCCAAAATTTGGAGTTTTGGGACCCACAGTGGGTTCTCAACAACAACTTGCGGTAGATGAAACCTTAAAGTGTCTGTGACAACAAATTTTTGTAAGAAATTTGAAAGCATTTTTGGAAAGACATTACAAAATGAATTCCACGTTGCTCAGATGGACAGTTGTTGAGATATTTGCATGTGAAGTAACAGGAAGTGATGCACAAYGGGAATGTTTGCATATGAATATTTCAAAAATAAATGTTACCAACTATTTCAATATTTGAGACAAATTAATAAAATGTGTTAACATTTTGAAGACTACTGAAAGATTGATTTAAGACATTTTAAGGCTAATTAAGGCCTTATTTTTGGATTGATGAATTCAAGGCATTTTAAGACTTTTTAAGGTTCCGCGGGAACCCTGATAAATTATTTTGTTTTGCTTTTGTCAAGTTTAAAACACATTTTCAAATTTGTGTCTCTTCCAAATTCAGTTCCTCAGATTTCTCAGTCAATCATCAGGACATCTTTGACTAAGTACAAACATTTACTGTAAATGTAATATACATTCTCGTGYTCAAAGGCGTGTCAACATGTGAAGAGGAGATGGACAAAACTGAAAAGCTTGTCATTAGTGGCCAGCTTGTTGGATCCCTTAAGGCACGGCCACCCAAGCTGCCTTAAAGTCRTATAAAGACAAAGCTCGATGAGGTAGATGAACCAAAAAAGACATGATGACTGACACCATTTTAAAAATAATATTCAATATGAAAAGCTCCCACACAATATAATCAAAGCAAAGAAGGAACTTTTCCATGGTTTAAGTCTGTGCAAACGTAAAGATTTGTCTGATTCATGAATCAACTAGATTCCCTTTTTTGACACATCTCATTGGATACTTTTACCTCTGAATATTGTTTTTCTATTTTTTATTCAAACCTAGGGTATAGCTGGGCGATATGACTGAAACATGTATCACAATATAAGTGTTTCATATCAGCTAATTTTGATGATTATTAGTTGTTTGTTTTACCTATTTGAAAAAAGGACCAGGGGAAAAAAGGCTGATTACTGCCAATTTCAGAAAAATTTAAACCAAATCGTCCCTTATGTTGAATCGCATCACAGTCAAGTCAGAGCATTACATTTTCTTTCACTTAGCTCTGTCGCAACATGACTGCCTGACTGGATAAATGCATGGATAAGCAGGTGAAAACAGTGGTACAACTAAAATTATTTAAAAGAAAATTGGCACCATTAATGAAATTAAATTAATTAAATTAAGAGCTACAAGACAACAGCATCAGTCAGGGCCAAAGTAAATAGAAGTTCAGTATTTTGTAACATGCAAATAGGAAGAGTTGAGTACATCAGTACATGTTGTGAGAAAATGATAAAACAGACAACTTAAGCTTCAGCATGATGGAAAACTCAGGCAACAGCAGTGTGCTGTGGAAATAAACCCGTAGAAGCTAAAGGAAGGATGGAGAATAAGGCTGAAGAGGTAGAGCACTATCTGGAGACAGGCAGGCAGTAGGTTTGGATGTGGACAAAGAGCTGACCAGTTTATTCCACTCTGCTGTTCCACACCAGCGTGGGCCGACTTTTTAAACACACTGCACTAAAATACCCATTTACTTCACAGGGCGGTCTTTCTGGGCAGTTAACACAATAACATGACCCCACTGTGAGGTACCCATAAATCAACCTAATGGTGCATTCATAAAAACCCACATAAGAACAAATACAAGAGAGGAGGGGAAATCAGAGTTCTGTCCAACATGAAAAGACAGACTGTCGCTTTTTGTTCAGAACAGGCAACAAGTGAGTGATCAAAAAAAAATCTTACAACACAAAGGAGGCCAGGAGGATATTCTACTGAAAATGTACAGTAAGTCGTAGGAGTCTTGAAACTTGAGAAAAACCGTTAAAGTACCTTTGAAACAAAGGTAAGGCTGAGTAAAACACCTGCACAGCCGAACAGATTTTTTGTTTGTAATTATTTCTATCATGTTTTTTTCTTTGCCTCTTCCAGAAAAAGGTGCACCTGGACCAGTCCTGGACCAGTTCTTCTGTGTTTGTCTGCGTCTCTTTCCTGTCCCTCAACCAGCCGGTCGAGGCAGATGGYCKCCTGTCCTGAGCCTGGTTCTGCTGGAGGTTTCTTCCTGATTAGCAGGGAGTTTTTCCTCTCCACCGTTTGCTCAGGATGGGAGACTGTGATGAAGTGATTCAACACAATCTGCTGCTTTCTTCTTAAATTGTTCTTTTTATGTACAGTGCCCTGAGACAACGTATGCTGTGACTTGGCGCTATATAAATAAACTTGAACTTGTTTTGCTCCCTAAAAAGTCTTCAGATTCATCTTTACCTACAATAAAATGATTAAAATAGAAGCTACTGTGTTCAGTGGTGCGCAACAATTTGAACATTAAAAACAATGGCATTAGGGGGGAAATTAGTTACAGTATTTAAAAAGAGGAAATAAATCAATTAAAGAGTGTTGGATACTTACAGAAAAAAAGAGGTCCATGACGCGGGTGTCCAGCAGCGCTTCCCTCCAGGACTCCGTAGGCTTGAGCGTGACGTTCTGTGTGGCCTCGAACATGGCAATGTAGTGGCGCCCCAGTGATCTGTCGTCAGTTAAGGCCAACAACAGCAAATAMGAGGAGGAGGGAGGTTAAGGAAGAGGAGGAGGAGGAGTGCCACTCTTAAACCCGCTCCTGTCACTAAGTTTCTTCTCAGTGGGTATTCTGGTCTCGGTGTGAGAGTCTTTTCTTGTGCGGCTGGCTGCAGATTCCCAACTCTTCCTCTCATTAACCCCGTCAATCTCGTTTCCACAAAAGATTGTTGTTCATTTTCTCACCCTCTTCTTCTCAGCTTCTTTGTTTTGCCTTCCCTTCTTTCTCTCTCATCAGCTCTTTTTTTAAATGCAGCTTTTACTCGTACAGCAAATCTTGCCTTCGTTTTCTCACCCTCCTCGCTGCTTCGTCTGTTTTTTTCTTCTGACTTTTTCCGTCCGTACCCTCTGGCTGGCCTGACACCCTCCTTGCTCCTTGTCCTCTTGCTCACCCCTCTTCCTTCCAGCCCTCTCTGCTGTCGCTCTCAGTTTTCTCTCCTCTGCTTCCTTAAGATCCTAAACACAAACTGTCTGCAGCCAATCGACTCCGCTCCCCTTCAAGGAGTCCGAGGCTCCTTCGAGCACTGAAACACTCCCTCGCTCCTCCTCAGCCAATCACCAAATTTCCTTTTCAATCCTTTCAAAATCAGAGCCTTGCTGTATTTACCCAGTAAAACTCATTTAAAACACGTCCCTGTTTTTATCATCTGACTGCTCTCTCATTTCAATATCTCTGAAATGTTTTTTAATCACTGTTCTCACATTTGTCCTCTAAAGACAAACAATATTTTCCAACTTTAAAACCTCTACTTCTTTCACAATGTCCTTTTGAAATATGCTCAGTCAAGTCTTTTAGTGGTTCAACAACACTGTGTACTAATTTAAACTTTCTCAACACCCACAGAAAGCCTTCCACAAACCACAACACACAAGCTCTCACTACAAACCACAACACTTACTGTCATTATTCAAAAATGTCATAAACACACCCACAAGCCCACTGAAACACACACTTAGGACAATGAAAGCATCTTACACATTCACATAAAACAAAACCATTTTCTAGCTCCTCTAAGCTGCTGTGATGAGCCCTTTATTCAACGCAGAAACCAATCCCTTGTGATCAAGATTTCATAAAAAAATAACTAATGTGCTTTATAATGTGCTTTACTTGTTCATTAAGGGGAAATAACTGTTTTAATTAATAAATGAAGATTTGTTTTTAGAGAGACTTTTTTTATTAGACTTATATTAAGGAACATTATCTGAAGGTTTAACCTCATGGGCAGAATTACGGCACCTCTTTAATGATCTAAGGTAAATTACCAACTAAATACAGTTTTGTTCAACAATGATGTCATGTAAAATGGTCAAAGGAGTTAGTCACAAAGCTGAGTTGGTGAATACAGTGAGGAAAATAAGTATCTGAACACCTAGCAACTTTGCAAGTTCTCCCAGTTAGAAATCATGGAGGGGTCTGATGACGGGTCATGCATTGCGAGATTTTGGGGAACCTCCTTGCCTCAGAGGATTGTAGATGCCAGGATAACCAAAGAGTGGCTCTGGAGTGGCCTAGCCAGTCTCCAGACTTAAACATAATAGAAAATCTGTGGAGTGAGGTCAAACTCTGTGTTTCTCAGTAGGGTTGGGCAATATTGCCAAAAAAACTAATCACGATTAATTGTGGTATTAGGCGATAACGATTAATTTGACGATTAATCTCCTGGAGTCCWCGGACACCCTTATGCTTTAATCATGACCAATTTAGTTTCTTTCTTTAATTTAGATTCTTCGTGAAAATCTGTTCCAAATTGTGTCAAAATTACAGATTTCAGGCTATACATCAAATTTAAAATTGTGTTGATAGATAAATAAATGACGCAACTTTTTTAAAAAAAATTTCATCATATTTGAAGCAGAGAGGATCACCAAGCGGACTGACTGGAGAAATCTCCAGTCACTCTGCCTGGTGGCATTAATCGTATTAATCGTCAAGTGTCAAAACATAATCGATTGTTTTTCTGACGATTAATCGCACACGATACGATTATTCCCAACCCTATTTCTCAGTGACAGTCCAGAAACCTGGCTGATCTAGAGAAGATCTGTGTGGAGGAATGGGCCAAAATTCCTGCTGCAGTGTGTGCAAAACCTGGTGAAAAACTACAGGAAATGTTTGACCTTTGTAATTGCAAACAAAGTCTACTGTACCAAATACTAACACTGATTCTCACAGGTGTTCAAATACTTATTTGCAGCAGTAACACACAAATAATATAAAAATATATTCATTGTGATTTCCAGAATTTTTTTTTAAGATTATATCTCTCACAGTGGACATGCACCTACGATGTAAATTTCAGACCCCTCCATGATTTCTAAGTGGGAGAACTTGCAAAGTGTTCAAATACTTATTTCACTCACTGTATGTATAACTGTAGCTATCCTAACCAATGACACAGCTGTCACATGACTGGTTTTGTAAATCAGCTTCAGATCTGAGACTTAACTGCAGTTATTGGTTCACCTGTGAATGATCAACAGTGATTTAGAATTTGGCTAGTATTTAGGTCACGTGCTAATTTTAAGGCCCACGGGCCCTCAAGAACATTATATCCGGCCTCAAAGGTTATACTTTAAATGTGACATAGCTTTAGMTTTTCTCTTTTTGTCACTGGATTTTGTGCATTCTTCTCATGCCAGCTGGCCAACTTTCAACTAAGAAAATTAAGTTTGAAATTTTCAGTAATCTTTACACAATCATTTATATATTTATACAATCTTCATTACTGATGAAAAGCTGACATGGAAATCTCACATAAATCATTTAAAAACAAAAATAGCCAAATCCATTGCAGGACACAGATTGTAGTGTGATTTGAGTATCCTGGATAGATAGAAAAGCGCTGTTTAAGTACAGTCCATTTACCATCCATTTAGTATTATACAAAGTAAGGGACTTATTTAATGATAAAGCACTGTTTATATTATATAATGCAATAATTGTTCCACACTTGATTTACTGTGTTGAAGAATGCAACATGTTCAAATGAAAAATCTTTTACTTTACAAGCAGTTTAGATTTAAACTGTTTGAGGAATTAAACTGATTTAATACCTCAAAGGTAATTTTAATCTTCATCCATCCATCCATTTTCTTCCGCCTATCCGGGGTCGGGTCGCGGGGGCAGCAGCTTCAGAAGGG